GGGGGGAATAGAAAACTAAGTGTGAATTTTCCGTGATGACATTCCTGTCCCATAAATTTTATCCTCCCCAAAGGCTCCTTGAGGAGCAAACAGGACTGACACCAACTTACTCCAAAGCTGGGCTGGGAAAGGACAACGTATTACCCTGATACTCGAGCTAATGAAAATCTGAAGCAGGTGGCTGATCTAAAGCAGGCCCTTGCTAACATCTAGGCTTCCAGCAAGGAAATCTTTCAACAGCAGTTCAAATAGGGTGACTGCTTTTCCTCTGAAGGGCTCGAGGTGAGGGTGTAGCGCAGAGGCAATATTAAGGGAAAGAAACCAGGGCACCAGAACTCAGGCAATGCCCATGGTTAGTTTCATTTCAGAATTAACGCAACCATACTGCGCAACTTCTGCATTTTATTGGTTTGTGCTGATGCCACGGCGACTGGTTTGATGTAAACAGGAAGCAGGTATGTGTTGATTCACCCTCAGTGTGCAGAAACAGGTTTGGGGATCCGAGCACTTCTCTGGACACTGGCACTGCAGACACAGGTTTCTGCAGCATCTTGTTTCAGAGTTGAGCAAGGGAGGGGCATCAATCAGGAAATCAAAGTGCTGCAAGTTTACCATCTAAGTCTTCACTTTCCTGTCCCCTTAACAAGCACAGGAAGAGCTTCACACCCATTCTGCTGGGTTTTGCATTTTGCAATAAACAAAGCCTAGATCTCAGGCCTGACACAAGCTTGACACAACCAGATCTTTTCAAATACTTATTCCCTCCACCCTTAACCAAAACAAAGCAGATTCATATCTGAGTATATGTGACCACTGGGAAGAGCACTGGCTCAACAGAGGCTTTTCATTCACAGCACCTGTTTCAAAACTAAGAGGCTTCTACCTGCTTGTTCAGCAGGGTGAGATCCTACCTGCGTAAATGCAGACGAAAGAGCCTTTAGCAATATCATCAAGGCAGCGAATGCCCCAGCCTTTGTTCTGAGTCTTGAATAACTGCAGGCGGACTTGGAGCCCATGTTGGACCAGGCGGTTGGTGCACATGTTAATGTTGCACTTGCACCTCTTGTTACACTCGTAAACTCTGAAAGAAAGAACAGTGACATCTTCCTTGATAAAGCAATATCCCAAGACTTGGTGTTATACCAGTAATGATGCAAAGGGACTTGCAGCAGCGACTTAAAGCTCAGCAGAGTAGGGAGAGTGTAGTTGCCAGGTATTACGGTAACACACAGAGATCCCAGGCGACACATTAGCAGATGGATCAAGAACAGAGGCAGGTTTTCAGTATCTGCTCTTAGTTCTGGGAAATACTGCCTCTCTGATAGCATCAGAGGCCAAGTTTCTGGGGTTGGTATTTGTAAGGCAAGGAGAAGACGCAGCTTTACTTACCCTGTCGGGAGGCATTCTTCCAGCCTTTTGTGCTGGTATCCTGAATTGGGGTTGATCTGCCCGCCCGGGGTGCAGCCAGTCGCTTGGACTGTCAGCTGGTGACAGGCACATTTCGATCTAGAGAGACACACAGAAAAACCCACCCATGCCCCAGAAGTTAGTTTTACACACCGGTTTTGCAGAAAGGAAAAGAAAGCACAACTTTCTGCATGCGTATATGCAGAGATGGGCACACAGGGCTTGCCTTGGAGTCAAACCTGCAACCGACCAGAGCTGCATGGGCTTATAGTCCAGAGCAGATCCACCTTGGGCTGTTATCAGGGCAGGCAGTGTGCCGTCCCCCACCCTCCAGGCTCAGCAACACACAAGGGGTCACCTACTTGTCTCTGCAGCCGTCTTTGCAATCGCAGCCCACGAGGAACTCCCAGCTAGTGTTGATGTAAACCCCTTTGCCAGGGATGCGTTCTTTGCTGTAGGCCACCTGTGGAGGGGGGGTGTTATCGATCTCGTTGACACAGGACAGCGGCACATCCTCCCTGCCCTTGGTAATGTCTGCAATGTAGTAGTAGGGTTTGTAGGGCTGGAACTTGCGATCCACCAGCACATACGGGTCCAGGCAGAACATCTCCAGGAACAGAAAGTCACAGTCTGTCTCAAAAAGGTAGCGTTCGATCTCCTGCATGGTTCTCAGGCACAGCCCACAGGGCGTCTTGTAGAGGACATGGAAGCCCATCTTGCGGTTAACCCGTCGGCGGGCTGTCATCCGTCGGAAGTCGTAGAGCAGCGGGATGAGCAGGGGGTTCTTGCTGCGGTACTGATCGCTGCGGATGGGACGGACGCGGGACAGGCAGGTGTAGCTGCAGACGTGTGGCAGGTAGAAGAGTTTCTCCAGTGGGGCTCGGTAAGAGGGCTCGTTCGGCACGCGGTCCATCATGCCGTGGAAGGACTGTGCTGTGCCACTGCCTGCCTGGCCACTGGACAGCCTGTTACAGGAAAAGGGATACACTGAGCAACTGCGGCTTAAGGAAGAGTGGTGCTTTCTCCTCAAACTGCAAAGGGATTTTAGGCCCTTAATTCCTATCAAAGCAGCTGCTAGTTACACACTGGGACACCCTGTTGGCTTTGCTGCTTAGTCCCATTAGACACAAACCCCAACATCCCTGGGGAGCAAGCCTGGGCAGGCCCCAAAGGGAGTGTTACCAGCAGCAGAGAACACAAAAAAACCCCAAATCAGAACTAGGGAAGCAAAAAGAAGTGCAAGCTGGTTGTGGTCTCAGAACTGGGATCAACGGCTTCTGTGCTGTGCATTGATTGCCACAAAGCAACCACTGTGGAAAAGCCACCTGCAGATTTATGTTAATAGCAGCTTCCCCCTGACCCTGGAAAGCTTGTAGTAACAGGAGTCCTCTAAAAACAAGCAGGATCAGAGGCTTTGGCCAGGGTCCCACTGGGGTAAGTTCTGGTCAGAGCTGATAAGAGACCCTCCAAGCAAAAGCCGCCAACAAAACATAACAAACAGTTGTCTGGGAGGGAGAACAAGGTAAGAGGAAGACAAATGCTCAGGACATGACAAGCTGGCAAATAAAGGTGTCAGTCCATAACAAAATAGACCTGCACTAAACCAAACAAGCCCCAAATCTGTACCAGCATCCCAAACTCTCACAAGGATGCAGGGATATCGCTGCATTTGTTGTAAGTGTGAACAAGCTTTGCTTACCGATGCTGCTGGGATGCACCAGTCCTTCCCATCGGAGGTGTATCACTTAGGACAGGTGAAGAAGGTGATGACTGCCCAGAGCCTACGGAGCCAGGACGGAAGGAAGTGCTTTTCTTGGCCACTTGCTTTCTTGACTGGGCCAGCTGACTGTCAGAGCATCTGCACGAGGGAAGAAAGGAGGCGATTTGCAAGATGCATATGGTCACACAACTGGTAGGATTTAGACAGACAGGGGCAGTCAAAATAACATTCCCCCGCAGAAGTCAGCAACAGTGCCCCATCCGAGAGAAGCCAAGCAGATTTTTTCCGAATGAGCGTTTCCTAACGAGTAATCAGCTCATTTATGACTCCTTATGCTACAGCGATCCCGCAACAACCCCAACCAAATGCCAGAACTCAGCTTCATTTAAAAGTAACTCCTGACATACTGCTATTTGGAAGCGAGGCATGGGAGTGAGAGGGAGTGTAATGATGATGTCCAAGGCCTTCATTTCAGGAAGCTGGACAAACCAGTACATGAAGAAACCTCTGCAATAGCAGAAACAAGAGTTTACAGAGGCTCAATCAGTGCAACAGTACTGAGCAGTGGGAGGAACAAGAAGTACAGAGGACTCTCTTGTCCATAGCAAGTAACAAGATAAGATTGTACAAGGGAATGTAATAACATTACTGACAAAAGGGCTGTGAGGGGCTCCCAAACACCTCTGCAGCCCAACACACAACATTGGGAAGGTGGGAGGCACCTGGAAAACTCTGCCCTCACATTCTGAGAAAACAATAATGGAGGTTTTCAATCCATTTACACGGATTAAACAGAAGAACACCCCAAACCAGCCACTGGTTTTCCTGCAAGTGGAAGAATCTAACTTATGTTATCAGGGTAGAAAGGGAGGAGACAGTGACAGCAGGAGGGGGCAACTGTTTCTGCAAACATCTGCCTTAAAAGCAAGGTGTTAACACACACTTCAAAATTCAAGAGCAAGAGAAAAAAGCTTCCATCAGCAGGCTTTAAACAGTCAGAAATGGCCAACAGCAGCTCCCTGGCACCTGGAACTTGAAAGTGAGACTAGAGAGGGAAGAGTACTGGGCCTTCCTCAGAGTAAACAAAACACCAGAGTGAAGAAACCATTCTCCCAGTTTTAATAAGCTAAAAACAATGTGTTTTTAACCCAACAACATTCCTTGGAACAGCAGGGACATGGATACAGTACACTGCCTTCAGTCAATGTTAAAAACCAGTTGTCTTTAAGCAGTTCACTATTTAACAGCAGGGCAGGGAAACGGCTGTAGTGTCTGCTTGCATTAGACCTGAAAACAAGATCATAAAGTCAAAGCCTCTGTGCGGACTGTTAAACGGAAAAGGAGAGATTCAGCAGCCAGCAAGACTGCAGGCTGGCTGATTGCTGCAGTCCAACTTTATTGTCTTCATGCCATGTCATTGCACATCCTTCCTACACCCTCGACAGCTCAGGGTGCCCTAGTGTTAGGGCAACAGCCCAGCTCTTCCTCTGTTCACAAGTGGGGCCCTAGACTGACGGCAGAGGAGCCAGTGTTGCATTTCTCATGCTCATTTCTCATGACCTCCTTCAGCACCGGCCTCTCTTCTTGGGTATGTAAGAGATAAGGAACAAGGCTATTATGGCTTCAATTCTCAAGTCTTGGTCAGAATGGCACAGGAGGAGCATTTCCAAGTCAGCACCCGCATCCAGGGGCACAATGGGTCATATTGCACTGGTACTTGGAGAGGAACCCCCTCTGAGACTGGAGGCTGGGGGCAGGCAGGGCTTCTTAGATGCTGCTACACCTAGAGAGCATCCGGTGAATAAAGATTTACTTGCTGCACAGGTTCCTTACAGCTGGGACATCTCCTTTCTCCCGTTTGCCCATGTGACAAGGCACAGTCACAGCAGAAAACGTGCTGGCAGGGGGCCAGGCGTCCATAAATTCGGATGGGAAATCCACAGTGATGACAAAACTGAACCACGGCAGCATCTCTCTCACCTAGAGAGTTATTAAAGTCCCTGAGCACATGCCCAGGTACCCTGGTGTTCTCCAACATGCTCCCTTCATCGCAAGGCCGAGTTCCTCCTTCATCCAGGCCTCCTTCAGCACTAGCCCGCACCTCCGAAAACGTCTCGCTTGGGCCCCTGGTGGCAGGAGGCATGTGTGCGACTTGGTCGTGGCTTAGCTTTACCAGGCTTGGTCCGTGACCACCGAGACCAACCACTGATCCTGAGTTCTCAGTGCCTCGTAAGTCATTGAGGTCTGCGAGCAGGTCAGTCCAAGTGGAGGAATACAAGGCAGCCGGGGGCCAGTGCCTGGATCGTGACACGAGGGAGCAATTCAGATTTTCAGAAGAGAAGGAGCAAACGTTCTAACTTGGAAATAAATCAAGTGCTTTAGCCCTGAGTAAGAACATGGCATTTGGCTCAGGGGGTGCTGGGCTGTCAGCTCTCCCGCCCCCAATTACTCATCCAGCAGCCTTTATCTATAGTTTCCCCCAGAAGCATGACTAAAACTGATTTGTGCAACCAGGAAACAAGCCTAGTCATGGAGGAAACCTGCACCTGAGGATTCCTCTACACAGAAAGGGTGGCGCCTGAAGGAGCTGAGCACTGGAGATGAAATGCAAAGGAGGTAGTGGTGGAAGCAGAGAACGGACTCAAGTACTTACTCCATCTCAGCAGGCTGTGGAGAAACGGACTGTGCAGCCAGCGAGGCTGCCTGCATTTGCTCTAAAGGTTTGTACTGGGTACCAGCTCCTGTTAAATCTTGCGTATACTGTACTACAGGCCCTTTGCTCCTGACAGCACCTAGTGCGGAAGGGGAAAAAGCAAAGTATCAACAGGAAAAGCCTCCACCATCAGCCAAAGTTTCTTGTACTAGCCACAAAATATTGATTTAGCTGCTGAAGGCAACCAGAACAGAGGTATTTGCAGTTAACAGTGGGTCACTGGCTGGGCTCTGAGTCACAGCCAGTCACCCCAAACAGATTCTGGCCACTTCACACAACTGCAGTCTGGTTTTGTGGCATCTTTATGCCAGGAGAAAAAGACTACTGTAAATCTTAAATCTCCAGGAGTTCTGCTAAAAAAACCTCACCAAAACCCAAAACAACCCACCTGCCCCCACCAACCCATAATGCGTTCATTCAAATTCCAGGATACAAATTAAAACAAAAAGATGCCACATACCGACATTGGGACGAGTCCTTGCTTGTCCACTTTGCTTCTTTTCTTGGGTGGAGGCTGTGGAAGTTTTCATGCTGAACATGGGCTCAAGGCGTGTGGAACCTCGGTAAATCCACTCACAACGTTTGTCATCCTGCAGCAAGGAGAAGGCAACACTCACAGCACCTATGGCAAGAACTTCCAGGGGTACCATACAAGCCTGGGAGACAGCAGTGTGCTTTTACGGTGAGCAGAATCAAATGGAAAGGAGGCAAAGCATTGACCTGAAGGCTCTTGAAAGACCATGCAGCCAAGAGAGGACAAAGGCAGTAATTCATCGTATCTGGGGGAACACTGAATACAAACCGAATCTAGAAAGAGGTCCAATACCAAGACCTCAAACCTCAAACACAGTTCTATTCTTAGCCCAACAACTGACTAACGAGGCACTGCTGGAGAAACCAGACTCCCTCAGGGGACAAGCTAACTCCTCAGCACAAACCGAATCTGCTCTAAGACAGGGAGGTTAAATTTGCAAGCGCACAATGTCTTCCGCAGCCCCAGTGGCCATGCAGTTATCTAGACAGAAAGGCAGCCAAGCGGGCACAGATAGTATGTCTGCTCCCTTTCTGCAATTTGTAGAATACGAGCAAGCCGAATATTGCAGCTTCTGCTCAGTTTCTCTCCTGCTTCTCAAACCAGCACTTGTATTTGGACAGTAGACATGGCTAGGTGTTTACATCAAGGAAGGGACCAGGATAGAATGATGATGCAAGTAAAGGATTTTGCTTCTTATTCTTCTACCACTTTAAAATTTCACACGTGAAATGCTTTAAAAGGCTTTTGAAGCTTTTGTCGTGCAAGCGGAAGAGTCTCACCATCACATCAGTGCACAGTAGAAATTGGCAGTCTACCTACTAAGCAAAATACCTGCTTGCTCCAGGACCCTGTCTGACATTAGCAAGGAAACTGGACTTGATCAGCCCAACAGAGTCAGCCCCCCCCACCTCCAACTCAAATTTAAGCCCATCTTCCCTCTCTAATGGGAGAAAGGAAATTGCCCTACCAGGAAAAGGATTTTGACCAGACTGCCATCCACTTCTTCCACTCTGGATTTCCACCAGGTCCCTTCCCACTCTGTTTTGATCAGTTGGCCATTCTTCAGCAGCACCATGGGACGGTTGGGGTAGGCCGTGATGTACTCCTCAATAAAATCACGACAGGAAACATCCTCTATGTCTTCCCAGGTCTTTTTCACTGTTCAGAAAAGGATGGATGGGAGAAAGGGAAGAGGAGGAAAGACTCTTACAAAGAGAATCTTTAATTCTTTTTTAAAGAAATCCTAGATGGATTTTTACCTAAGAACAATAAAGCAGCAATGCCGAGTGGCCGGATTTTTGGTGGTAGGGCATCCAGCCATGTTAATGCACCCAGAGTGCAAGAAGTCAAAGCACACTCACTCTGCCAGTAATAAACCACTGCTTCCTCCAGCTTCATATGCAAATGTCTATAGGCACAGCACTGGAGAGGACACGTAGTCTGTTCCCTGTCTTTTGAGCCAGGCTCTGTCATATACCCAAAGGCTCCCCATACAATTTCAGCATCAGGACGCAGGAGGGGCAGAGATCACTCACGTGGCCTGCAGATCGGGTACAGCTCCCACTCCTTGACATACGAAGCGTAGCCATCATCAAAGAAGATCAGGAATCTGGCAAACAGCAGCGTTGGAAGTTGGAATTAGAAATGCAGCTGAATAAAATGCAGCTCCACACCATATAATGGAAGTGGAGCACCCCTCCTGTTTCTCCTGCCAGTCCCAAAGGCCCTCAAATCATACGGTGGATGAAGACAGAATGAAGCAATCGCTTCTGCCAGGAGATTATGAGCTTTGCAGTATCACCACTTCCCTCGGTTCTTTCAGAACAGCTCTCCCCCAGCCCCGAGCCACCCCTGTGCTCCCAAAGACAAGAGAGGCTGCCCAAAGGCTTTCCGGCAGCATAGCACAGCCAGGCCCTCTTCCCTCAGCTCCAGATTCCCTCTGTGCCTCAGCCACAGGAGGTAAGGGAAGAGAAAAGACAGTTTTTAATTGCTCCTAATCTCTGCTAGAAAAGATCTTTTTGGAACCTTTGGGACAAAGCAGCAGTAGAAGCTGCACACTGTGACTTGAACAGCAGCACAGGGAGGGAGCTGTGGGACACCTCCAGGGCTCCACCTGCAGACAGGAGAAAGTCCCAGTGCCTGTGGGGGCCGGGAGCTCAGAAGGGGATGCGCACAAGGCTGGATATGGCACCTGCTTAGCACTGCGTGCCTCTGAATAACAACTTCAGGATATGGAGCCATATAAAGGTTGCATTTTGAGAGATCAGCATTACAGCCAGCCTAGCCAGGAGGAGTAAATTTGCAATACGAGTAATAAATGCAGTTCATTTTCAGTTACTAAACGTGTATCAGATAGAACTTGATGCAATTAGGCATTTACGGCAGATCCACATTTGAAACAAACAGGGTGATTATACCCTTTATGAATCTTCCCAGAAAGATCACAAGCCGAAACCACAACATCGAAGCAGCCCTGCCCCTTATTTATATGTGACTGAAAAGGCTGCTTTAGACCTGCTGTTTCTTCTCCTTAAGTGCTTTGGCAACACTGCTAGCCCTAAATGCTTCTAGGGCTCATATTTCCTAACACTATTTTTTATGCCTTGAGCAGTGCAGACTTACATTTGTGTGATAATTTGAATGAATTACCAGATATAATTTCTGACTCAGGGACATGAGTAATAGAATGGAAGCTCCACCCAGAGCTTTCAGAGATAAGAAAGACCAAAGAAACAACATTCAGAGCTATGTCCCTGGAAAGGGCAAAAAAGAATTTAGGTCCCACAATACCAAATACACCAATATACCTTTTTTCTTTTCTTTTTTTCCTAAAACCAAAACAAACAAAGAGAAAAAAAATAAAAGAGGGGTACATGACTATAGAGAATTAATACCTGTCTTTATTCTTCACGTTTGGGGTTTCAGCCACAATGCCAGCATACAGCCAAACCTGATTCCCATCTTTGTATTTTGCCACAACCCTGCTGCCAACATAGTGTTTCTCAGGCGAGGGGTGATAGTCATAAGCGATGTGATTGCCAGAAAGCAAACTCTTCCCTTTATTATCAAATTTCACTTTGTACTTCTTTCCAGCACCTGAAAGACATTTCAACAGGGCAAGATAAATCAAGCCAGGTGATTTCATACAAGAAGTCCGATATCCTACACCATTCTGATCCAAGTTCAGAACTCATTTGAAAGCCTTTCAGAAATTAGTTTGGAAGGTGAAATATTATAGTGGAGATGTGTTGCTTTCACAACTCTTTCCAGGTGACACTAGGTGCTCTGACACGGGAGGGGACCTGCTCTAAGCCTGATCAATGTTACCCACCCAAAGCTCAGTGAAAGCCACAAGCACTGAGTCACAGCATCAAGCATGGGACATACCAACGGTCTGGATTGCAATTAGAGTTCCTTTGTGCCACGTTTTGGTTCTTTTCTTGCCCAGGATCCTCATGCCAACACTCAGATCACCGTCATTGCTGAGATCACTCCCAGCTGCTGCAGGGCCAATGGGCTGCACGGTACCAGGAGCTTCCTGAGGGGTTTGTGCATCTACCCAAGGAACAACAATAAAACGTAAGTTAGAAATTGCCCAAAGGCTCCCTCTCCTACGTACACAATTGGAAGAATGTGTCGGACCTGAGATAGGAGGTGTTCTTGCTTTCCTTTACCTCAGTCAGCTTAAGTGCCTCAGTTTTACTGGATGGAGTAACCAGCAAGTGAGGTTTAAACAACATTAAAAAGCTTTCATGGTATGGAAACTGCACCACTTTTATCTGCTTTTGGAAAGGGCTTAAGAAAAATAGGGATTTGGAGTCAATATATCCTAATGGGTCTTTCCAGCAGGGAAACAGAATAGTTATTTTCTTTTTCAGAAAGAAAACCACCGGGTATAAGATGCAGACAGGACCAAGGTAAGGGCACACACAGGTGCCAGCCCATGTCAGTCATCCCCAGGAAGCTCTCATAATCTGACCTTTTTGTGCATCCTGGGCATTTGTTTTCTTGTTCACGGCATCCATAAATTTCTGAACATCCTGGGCAGACTTTCTCATTGCAGCCATGGCCTCCCGCAGCTGAAGGGGAGGAAAGAGAAAGAAAATATGAAGAACTGTTTCTTTTTTGCGCCAAATACAATGCTGCCCTAAGCGTTCCAGTAAAACCCTGCTTCAGAAGCACACTATAGTCAGGTGTTTTCCAACTCACCAGAGTCTGATCCTTTGCAATTCTGGGACTACTATCGCCTGTGATTAAAGAGAAAAAAAGTGGTTTAAAACATCTTGGGAAGGAAAAAACCCATCCTAGTTAAGTCACCGAAAGACGAGGGAACAGATAAAAGCATCCATTCAAAAGCCTCCTCTGTCCCTGTCAAGAAATCCGCTCAAGCCAGGCTTTTACTAAGCCACCCTTTCTAGATGCACAACACGCTGCACAGGCAGCTTCCCTGCAGGGGCAGCATTTGATGGGGACAACAGTCAGGCAGGTGGCAAAACGGAGAAGTCCCACTTTGGGACTCCAGGAGCCACACAATAGTTAGGGGCCCTGGCAGACCATGCAAGCGGTGATGTTCTTCACGAGCTAACGGCATTTCCTACCTGATCCTCTCCTGCTTACGGACCAGCGTGACTTATGGCCAACTTTACAATATCCTTATTCTGATCCCTCTCATTCCTATGCTCCTCCAGCACACGCTCAGATCTCCATCCCTCCCCTCAGTACCATGTGGTGCAATGAGATACTGAACTGTGCTTCCAGCCTGAATCGATACTCATGACATCATCGTCGTCCTCATCCGGGATCTCAATCACTTCCATGGGCTTGGCAGCCAAGTCCTCATCCTCAGAACTGCTCTCACGGTACTGGAGGCCCAGCTTGGAGTACAGATCCTTCACCAATATCTCGCATTTATCAATGGCTCTGAGGAAAAAAAGTAGAAGGGAAGAAACAGGAAAAGACAAGGTGAGCCCAGCTGTACATCCCACAATACTGCAGAAAGAAATAGGAATCAACCGCTGGGGAGCCGCTAATTAAATACAACCATGATGAGGTGAGGGAAGAGTATTCACATGAAGGATTTAAAGCCACAGGGGAGTAATTTTAATTATCCCTCAATAACCACACACAAATGAACCGATGCAGAATCATAGCGTCAGTCTACACTGAAGGGAAATGGGCAGCACTCATCAAATGATCTCCCCCTCCTCTGCTCTGAGGCCCAACTCTGACACGTGGCTGCGATTCCAAGCGCACCCACCTTGAAGCGTCATCAAAGAGCCGGTCAACGCGAGCCACCTCTTCTTCCTTCTGTTTCACACACTTTTCCAGCTCCTCCAGCTGCTGTTTCCTCTGCTTCACGCACTCAAACTTCTCCAGCTCTTTGTCGATAATATCCTGGAGCTCCTCCATGGAGATTCCCAGCTCCTCCATCACTTCTTGCTGCAGCTCTTTGATCTCCTGGGAATCCATTTCTGCTGTACCTGACACCACAAAGAGGTGAGAAAAGGCCGGTGAAACCCTATTGCTGTACCCCATCACCTGAGGCACAGCACTCGCAAGAACGTAAGCTCAATTTTTTGAAAGCTAGTCAGGAAGAAAACATTATATATGTTGTTAAGATAACATCACAAGGAGCCAAAAATAACCGAAGTGCAAGCAAACTGATTCCAGGACAACCAGGGATTCCTGACATCTCCTCCGATCTCTGCACAGACTCTCCAAACCCACTGAACGCCGGAGCCTTACGCTTCACCACCTCAGTGCCATTTCCTCCGCAAAATCTGCGGAGCAGTTCCTAACCCTCTGCCTTGCCTGGGAGGAGAACCATGCCGATGCCTCTCCCAATCTGTCCGACAACTTCATCTTCGGCAGCAGCCCAGAAGAGCTCCTGTCCTCCCCTGCCTGTGGTGTTTAAGGAACGTTATAACATCCAGCCCCAAGGACGGCCCCAGCTGTTTCCTCTATCCAGGCCTGCAGACCCTGCATCTCCCTTTGAGCTGGGTGTGGTGATAACGCATCCAGTCTCCATGACTTTGAAGTCTATCCCCTGTCAGCACCACTCACAGACACCTTCCTCCTTCCCACAGTGCTCCCTGCTCTCGCCTCTCCCTTCAGGCTCCCTGTCTGTACTAAGCACACCCTCGTCTCCAGCTCCCCCCTCACCTCCTGCTCCTCTGCCAGCCCTGGTCCCACAACCCCCTCCTCTCTCCCATCACCCTGCTCCAGCGTCATTCAGCTCCCCCTGCCCACATTTCTCTCCCAGCTGCACCCAGGCCACCCCCGGCCACAACCCCACACACTTTCCTCCAGCCCTACAGATGCAAAGAGAGCCCACAGCCCACCAACATCTCCCAGCTGCACTCCCACCCCAGTGACTGCCCGCCCCCTGCCAAACGCACCCCTATCACCCAAACAGCCACTGTCAGCACCCCACCCCAGTGCCACCACAGCCCCCCTGCAACCCCAAACCCCCATCAACCTCTCCAGTCCCCCACTCCTAATGCTCTTACGCTCTCTCTTACACCCTATAGCTCCCTTATATTTGCAAGTTTCCATCAACCCCTCGGCCTGCAGAAGTCCCTGCCCACAGCCCTGCCGCCTGCACCTCAAAACAAACCCCACACCTTATGCGTGGGGACCTCCTCACGCTCTCTTCTCACCCCAACCGTCCCCCCCACAAAGTCCTCTCCCCAATTCCTCCTGCCCCACAGCCCCCTCC